CTGCTTTCGGTATCGCCGCATCTCGGCAAACTGGTGTGCTCTCTGTGGGGCTGGGGCCCTCTGCATCTCCCCTACTGGGGATGCCCCGGTGACCTGGGTGCCCCAGGAGGACAGCAGAATGTTCAGGGGGGACCCGTAAACGTCCACACTGGCTAGATCTGGGCTCTATCCTGAACTGCACTACTTAGAAACGCTTCTACTTTATTGGGGGAATTAAAGGAGCCGTGGTGGGTGCGTCGGATAGCCCTGGACAGCTAACAGCAAGGTCAGTGGGGTGAGACCATGGCTGCGCTCTGGGAGAACCATGAGGCTGTGTGTTCCTGTAAGGATTTACAGCCCCGGAAACATGATGGTCCAGGGTTTCTACGAGTTGGAACTGGGTCGATGAGAGGGGGTCTTCTGTACCGGGGTCCCTATCTCTGGGTGGCACCAACGGTTTCTACCCAGCCACTCACCTAAAGGTTTGGATCTGGAACCTCCCTAGCTGCACGCGGAAGAGAGGCCTGGCGGTCTGCTGCCATAAGAGCACAAGCCTCACACCTCCCGTGTAGCCTCTGCTCCGTCTGCTCGCTCGGTGACCTGGCACGGCTGTGAGTGTGGCACAGTATCTTGTTACTGGCTCACAGCAACTCTGTGAGGTAGGAATCCGCCCCATTTCACAGCTGTGTTCACCAAGGCCCCGATGCCTCACCCACTTTAAGCTCAAATGCCTCTTGATTTAAAATGGCATCCAGCTCCCATCCCCACACGGATCGCTGCTTAGCATAGTGTCTTCCTTATAGGACAACTCCTGTGCCTGCCTGCGGTTACCAGGGAGGGAAGCTCTGCCCATGTTGTCCGCTCATACGTGAAGGCGAGTCAGGAAGCATCGCCCTGGGGGTCCGGCTGATACGTGTTCGAGGTGAGTCCTGACAACCCGTGTTTATGTCACCAACGGCGTTCCCTCAGTAACACACTTGTCTTCGTCTCATCAGGCTGCTTTAAAAAACAATAGTCCAGTCCTAACAGTGGCTTTCAAGGGGATCTGCTGGGCCAGGGAAGTTCAAGGCTGAGAGGTCGGTTCAGAAGGTGGTTCAGGGCTCCCCAAGGGTAATCCTGGTAGATGTTCTCATAGGACACAGGGAGGTGCATGGGGCATACCACGGAGAAGTTTTAAGAAAACTGAAAACCACATTGGTGAGCAAGAGGCCAGAAAAGTAGCAAGAACGTGTTTTGCATCTCAGTGAGATGCTTGCTTGTCCTGTGAGCGGCACAAGGGCTGCTCTATGAAGGTTTGGTGGACCATCCTTATTACTGCCGCGCCCCCCCCCCCCAGTCCTGATCTAGCCCCTTCAGGTGGCTTTTTCTTCCCCAAACTCAAAGAACACTGCAAAGGACCAGGATGGGAGGCCCACGCGGCTGCTGGGACGTGGTGTCAATTGAAGGAGGCAGGAAGGGTAGAGACGGACACACACCTTCAGAAGCGCCCGGGTCTGGATGGAGGATGTGGAAGAACGAGCGTTGCCTCTGAAGCTTTTGGATCAGCAGGGCGTCTACGATGCCCTAGCTGTACGCTTCGACTTTCCCTCATAGCAGGGGGCTTCAGAAGGTTCTCAGAAAAGTGGAATGGAAATTCAGTCCACGAACTCTTGAAGCCCCCTCCTATTTCCCAAGCCATTAAGCATGGAAGTGTCTAGTTGATTGGCGAAACAATTTGTCCAAGTGTCTACAACCTGGAGATGGCAGAGCACCGTGTGGGAGGGCACAGGCTTCGGCAGCAGAGTCCTGGGTTTGGGTGACAGCTTTGCCACTGAACTGGCTACTCGGCCTTGGGGAACTTATGACCTCGGTTTCTTGGGTAATGTGAGGGCGAGCAGCCTAAGGAGGCGGGTGGCAGCAGCTGTGGAGTGAGCCAGCTGTGCTCTGCTTGCTGCCCACCAGTTGCTAAGGAGACCAGCAACACCAGCCCCTGACAGGCTGTGGCTGGAGTCTGGCCCACACCGGAGAGAGACCCCGGGGAAGGAAGGAGAGAATAGGAGGGCCCTGGCTCATCTCCCGGGCTCTGGGTAAGGCTATCGGCCCCGGGCTGCCTGAACAAACTCAGCTTGCTCCCTGAGGAAATGGAGTGTTCAGCCTCTGGCCTCGCTGGGTCTGGAGAGCTGAGTAACTCTTGTGCCATGGGAGTGGGCTGCAGTTTGTGCTGTTGTCCCGTGGTGCTAGTCTGGGGGTGATGCCCAGACGCTGCGAGGGGGGCCATACAGCCAGAGTGACACATAATCTAACTCCTGGCTTTGGAAATGGCACCCTCCCTGAGCAGGGCTGGCAGCGGCCTGCTGTGTGAGTCGTGGCTCTCTATCTCCTCGCTCCAGTCTCTTCTGGCAGCTTGGGCAGGACCCCTGGCCCTCTAGTGACCCCTGCACCGCTCTTCCCACCCTTGATGCCGGGGGTTTCACCCGGCTGAAGGAAGGAGTGGGGTTCAGAGGAGGAACTGGGGAGCCCACGTGTGAGGGATTGAACCCTGCCTGGGTTTTTCCAGCTGTGCCACCTTGGACCAGGCACTTAGCTTATCTGCGGAACTGGGGTAATTATAGCACTTTCCCCTGGGGCCTGATGTGAGGATTAAGCGAGTTAATTCTTGTAAAGGGCTTAGCACCCACTCAGGCACACCGTGTTTATCCAATGGAAGCTATTATTGTCATTTAAGGGGCTACATTCCTGGGAAGAGTGTGTATCTCTCCTTGTTGTAGAATAAAAATGATAATATTATTATTTTTATTAGGATGTGACTTCTCTTGAAAACAGTTAAAAGTAGGATGGGTTGATTGCATCGGCCACCTTGTTACTAGGCTGGAGCAAGTGCCGGCTGCCCCCTCGGCTGGGGCTCGGGCTCCCTCAAGTACGTAAGCCTTTCCTGGCCCCTTTCACGATGTGCGTGCTTTGCCCCTGCAGGCACGTGCTGCTTCTGTTTAAGATCCCAGATGAGTCTAAGTGAACGCAGACGCAGCGGCTCTAGTGCAAAGGCCGCCTGGCCTGTGCTCAGAGCCAGAGGGGCAGGAGATGCAGAGGGAAGTCGAGGAGCCTTGAATGTGAGACTGGCTCGTGCCGGTGGCTCTGTTCCCTCCCATCCCTAGGCTGGCAAAGACCCTCTGGGTTTCTGAGGCTGTAAATCCTTACAGGAGCAGAAAGCTGCATCTTTCTTCTGCAGAGCTGTCGGGACTGGAACTGCTGACCTGTGGTTAGCAGCCTGACACGTATCCACCATGCCAGCAGGGCTCGCTTACTGGGAACGCAGGAGACTCTTCATGCTTGCTTGCTGAACAAGTGAATGAAGGAAGGAATGCAGTGACCGCACTGCAAGCCAAGCGTTTAGCTAGACTTTTTCCCAAACTTTCCCCGCCCCTCCTCCCCATCCCACCCCCCATCACCTCATTTACCACTGTATGCCCAGAGCCTGGCTCGGTACCTGGCACATAGTACGTGCTCAACCAGTATTTGCTGAGTGAGTGAATGCATGAAATGAACGTAGTGTTTCTTTGCCCTGGGTCGGAAAGCTGTAGCTGGGCTTTTACAGATGGGGGCACCCTGCACTCCTCTTTGTAGCTTATGTGGCTCACCCACCGGGTGGACTGACACCGCTACAGCCTATTAGAAGACACCCCGTGTGCAGGGGCTTATGGCTACGATTTCCCAGGCAGCCTCTGCAGTTTGCTGCCACACTGAGTTTCCCAAAGTCCTTGGCAAGGAGTCTCACTAGCTGTCCCGGCCACTTATTCCTTGGGCAGTTGTGCGTGTCCCATTAATGGGCACTGCATCTTATCATTTCCTGCTGTGCTTAGAAGCCCGGCCTCTGGGGGTGTTGGACTTTTTTGATGTTCCAGAACGACTAGGGAATCGGGCCTGAACAGTGACAGAGCTGCCTGTCATCTGGCTGAAAGGAGCCGGACCGTTTGGGGGCAAAGTGCTCCAGCTTGGGCTTGGGGAACCAGCTGGCTCTGTGACCCTGGGCAGACCACTTCATTTTTGTGAGCCACGTCCCCAGGGCCCTTGGGCCTCTAATGCTAAGTCAACACTCAGCGGCGGGCTCCCGGAGTGGAGTGATTGTTCAGCTGGTCTGTGTTTCTTGGTGAAATTGTAGCTGTTTTTATTTTAGAACTTTTCATTTCAGCGCCTGTTCCAAGTGTGAAAAAAAAAAAAACCCAACAAAGCAACAAGTGCACTAGCTATGAGGAATTCATATTTTGTGATTTATTTGAAGTATTATTATTACATCAGAAAGCGGTAGGGTGTTTTTTGTTGTTGTTAAATAGGTTTTTAAAAGGCTGGCTGCCTTCTTAAGTGTGATTTTATTATATCTGGGGTGACTTTTTCCCGCCCGCCGTGAAGGATAGACCTGCAATTTATAAGGGAGGTCTGTGGGAACCTTCAACAACAAGGCTGGCTGTGTTATTCCCAAAGCCACAGCCTCCTTGCTTCCAAGCCGGCTGCAGGGGAGCCTGCACGGCAGGGTTCTTTCAAGAGAGCTGGGTGATGGGAGATGAGCCGTGCCTACATCCAGCCTCAAGGATTAAGGGGTCTCAGAAAGAGCAGGATCTCCATTGGTATGCCAGCCCGGCCCTCTTATTCTTTAGATTAGGGAAACTAAGGCCCGGAGTGGAAAGTGCCTTCATGTCTGCCCCTCGCTCTGTGTGGAACCTCACTGGCCCCAACCCTGTTTCCCCCATGTGAACAACCGCCCCGCCCCCACGCCCCCACGCCACTGTGCATGCCCGGCGGTGGGCATTCCCCCGTATGGTGATTAGCTTTCCACGTGTCACTCATTGGAAGGGCTGTGTCCACGCAGCACCCTCTTGACCCAGACGTCCCCCACGCCGCCCCCACCCCCATCAGCTAGGCACTACCATCCAGCAGAGCGTTTATTGGCATCATTTCTCCAGGAGAGAGACCGGAAGACTTAGCAAATTCAGACTTTAACATTTTTATCTTGAGTACTCCCAAAGAGCCCCCTTCCCCCCGCCCCCAGCATCTCCCACCAACCCCCCTATGGCTTTCTCTCGCACAAGGAGTCAGGGGCACAAAGCAGGGACAGCACAGGTGAAGCCAGCAGGCACAGGCTACATTGAGAAATCAACCCAGCGAGCGGCGCGGAGGAGCCATCTTTGTTAAGGGCAGACTAAGCCGCTCAGGACGCTGGAGGGTACAGAAAGAGGGCTGCCTTGACGCTTCTGGATGGCTGGGGAGGCTGACTGGGGCTTGGGTGAGGCTTTCCTTTTCTGTTCTCTCAAAACAACGAAAACATAAAACCATGCAAAGAAAGCCTTCGCAAGCCGCTAAGTGTCAGTAGCTCTCTCGTGTCCCTTTTCAAAGATGGCCACCCCTGCTGGCCACTCAAGAGGGGAGCCGCAGCAGCAGAAGATACCGGGTGTGGAGAGAGACAGGCAGCGGGAGAGAGATTTAGTGTTCCACAGAAGTTGTTTGTTTAGTTTAGGCTTTTTGTTTTTTCTCCTTTTTTATTGATGGGATTTAAAGTGCATATAACGGAAGGCAAAGTCCAAGGCCTAAAGAAAGATGGGAGGCCCAAGATAGAGGCTCAGAGAGTCTCAATGCCGCCGAGGGGTACCCACCTAAAAAGGCCACTTGAGCTGCAGAAAGGATGGAGAAGGAGATAAAAACAACAAACAAAACAAAAGGGGGGGGGGGCAGAGAAAGAGGGTGGGCGGGGCGGGGGCAGAGGAAAAAAGACAAACACGGTTCAGAAATTCAGACCACCGGGGCACATTGGTATTCCAGATAGGAAAAGGCAGGCTGCCCTGAAACAGCATTTATTCCAGGAACTGGGGAATGGACAGGAAGGAGGCGGAAGGGAGCCTTGGCTGGGACACAGTAGCTCAGGAGACCCAGAGGGAGGATCTAAGGAGACTCCAGTCAGTCAGGAGATGGCCAGGCCTGGGCACCTTGGCCGGGGGCCTCCCCAGGGCTGCCCGGGGGAAGGGACCGTCCCTTGGCTGCAGGCGGGTGGCGGGGGCCCCACTCACCCACACAAGCCGTGCCATCCTCGTTGGGCTCGTAGCCCTGAGAGCAGCGCTTGTTGGTCCGGCACCTGTAGCTCCCGTAGGTGTTGACGCACACGGGCTTGTCTCTAGGGCACACGAACGGGAACTGGATGCACTCGTTGGTGTCTGCAAGGCGAGCCAGGGGAGCCACTCAGTCTCAGCTGGGAGGGGGGTGACCGTGGGTGGTGGGTTCTAGTTCAGGTGACTTTAGGCCTCAGTTTTCCTCACTTCCGTTTCCAAGGCTGACTCCTCCTGCAGGTGCCCTCTCTGGGCTGGCAGGCTCAGCTTGCCTGGCCTCCTTCCCCTTCACCGCGCTTTCTCTTGGCCAGTCCCTGGGCCTACAGGATTCGAAACCTCCTGTCTCGTTGGCCCCAGTGACCTACCCCAAAGCTCTGCTTGAATGGCTTCCATGCGTCTCCGATGGCGTTCCCTGCAGCCCTCCCTCCCCCCTCCCCCACGCTCCCTAACTCAACAAAGAGCGACTTGCACCCAGAATCCAAGGATCCCCTTTTCCTTACCCCCAACCCACACCCCAACCCGCCGCCATCAGGTCAACTCTGCCCCATAACGACCTCACCGAAGGGCACCCGAGACGGTCCCTCTCATCACCCGCCCCTCCCCCCACCCTTAAAACAGCCGGTGGCTTTGAACTGTGCACCTTGTGGTTGGCAGCCCAATGCCTCATCCCTAGCACCACCAGGGCTCCTTATTAGACAGCAGGCCGTGTCCATTCTCCCACAGAGCCCCTCTGTCTGTCCACCTCCCACTCCTTGGCCACCCCTCCGCCCCTCGTCAATGTCTGCAGAGGCCTCCTGCCGGGTCTCTTGGCCTCCCCTCTTCCCGACCCACTGGAAAAGGCTGCAGCCAGAGACCTTTTAAGAACACGGATCGTGTCCTGTGATTCCCCCTGCTCCTAATGGTCCTAAGAACAGAATCCTGGTTCCTTACCAGCCCTGGAGCTCACCTGTGCTTGACTCCGTCTCCTGCTACCTCTGCGGGCCCCGGGCTCCCTTCCTTCTACCAGCCTCTGCTCTGCTACCCCCTCTGCCAGCAAAGCTCTCTCTCCCCTCACACCTTTCCGGGTCTTTCTCCTCCATCAGCTCTCAGCCCCGTGGTGCACCTCGAAGGCCCTCCCGACCATCTGTCTAGAACCTGAGGGTTGAAGCCGGAGTGGGGAACGTCAGGCCCTCGGCCGCAGAAGGCCCAACAGATCATTGAGACCGGCTCACCTCCCATGCCTCACCAAAGAGAAGCCGTCATTTTAGGGGTGAACTAATCCAGTGTGTGACCAGTAGGGGCTTTGAATGCTCCCAGGCAGGTAAAAGGCTCCCCACCTGTGGGCTGAAACATCGATTCCCACACTTACTGGGCCTTCTGCCCCCTTTTCAGAAAAAAATAAAAAATTACTCAGCACCTCGCCCCTCCATTAAAAATCAGGTATCTGCTTTTGCAGACCCCGGTTCGTTCCAGCACCCACTCATCGAAGGGAAGGTGGGTTGGCCTTGCCCTGCCTGCTTTCTGGAACGCAGGCCATTGGGTCGAAGGGCTCCTGGTGGCTAAGCTGTCCCCACACGATTCTTTTCCTTCCCTGGACTCTGTGGCTTTCAGAGCTGCCGTCCTGGTAGCAGAGCACAGCCCTCCCCACCAGAGACCCCCTCTGTCCACTGCACACGCGGCGGCACCTCCCCTACTCCCTGTTTGATCCAACGCTCCCTAGTGACAGCCAGCCTTGGCGGCCAGTCCTGTGCTAGTGGCTTCCCTGCTGGCTCTGCTGGTGGCTGGGCGTGCACCCTGAAGCCCAAGGCCCCGTGCCCCACTCATTCTCTGCCTTCCCGGCAAGGAGGCGCTGCCAAGCCCAAGACGGCAGTGAGTCAGCCACCACCGGCTGCTACCATCCCACCCACCTTGGTGAGTCACGGTGGGAGCCTTGGCATCTGGAACTCCAGGGACGGCACACTCCCCACCCGCCTCTCCAGCCCCTGGTCTGCAACTCAGCCTTGCCAGGGCTCTGGCTGCCGATCTGGGGAGCACCTGGCCTCGGTCCCACCCTTTGGTGCCCGAGGGCAACTCACCCATGCAATGGCCAGTTTCCTGCTGGGAGAATCCTTGGCCACACTGCAGGATGGGTGAAAACAGAGATACCGGTGAGTGGAGAAGGTTCCATCTCAGGTCCCCTCCTTGTCAGCTGCAGAGTCACCCAGTTCTCGGAAGGCGGAGAACTCTCAGCTCTGGGCCTGCGCTAGCCCCTCCCTTCCATGACCCCCTCCCTTGTACTGAGAACAGGAGGTGGTGGGGAGGAGGCCTAGCTCGGATACAGTTCTATCTATGTGCACTTGGGCTCCCCTTGCCACAGCTGGGAGGCTCCCCCCAGCAGGACCTCTCTCTCCTGTAGCACAGCCCCGTAGGGCTTGGGCAGGAGGGTGACATGGCTGTCTCTGCAGTGTTGGCTAGAGGCCTGCGCCTTCGCCCACCTCCAGTGGGACTGGGTCCTGAGGGTTAGTCTCGTCCAGGGGGTAGGCGATCTCCAGCACCGAGTTCATTTCCCCGCCGGCCACGTTTCTGCTCACCATCCTGCCATCCGGCCACGTTACCTCCACGCTGCTGGCTTCATCCTTCCCTGAGGGACAGGAGAGGGAGGGTGTGAAACAGAGTAGAGCAGGGCCTCTCGGCCACAGGCTTCGTGCGAGGCAGTCACTGCCCGTCCTGAGTGTTGGGGCATTGGTGAGCCGGGCAGACAGGCTCCCTGCCCTCTAGAGAGTGGACGTGGCAGCAGAGAGATATACTGTATCTGAACTGCCCAACGCCATTGCCCCCAGAGCCCTGGGCCTGCTAGGGACTTGGGGTGGGAAGATGTGCGCGAGGAAGCGAATTGGAATTTTCAAGTCACTGTGGTCCCTTGACTTTGGCATCAGGAGCCCCTGCGGCATAGGGGTTACATGTTGGGCTACTAACCACAAGGCCAGCAGTTGGTGACTGCCTGCTCCTCTGAGGGAGACAGACAGGCTTTCTGCTCCTATAGAGCACAGTCTGTAAAGAGTGACGTCTTGGAAACCCACCGGGGGCGGGTCTACCCTGACCTCGGGGGTTGCTAGGAGTCTGAATGGAATGGTTGACTTTGAGGCTTGTAGCCCCTGGGCCACCAGGCTTCCCTGGTGGGATGGCACAGGGGCCGGATACCAGCCTGGTGGCTGCTTTGCTATGCAACCCGGGACACGTCACTTATATCAAGGGAGATGCTGTGAGGAAGGGGCAGGGCTCCCTGGGGGTGACCCTGTTCCCTGGCAGGGAGGAGGCAAGTGGGTGGACAAATTAGTCATGCCAGCTGTGGATAAGCTCTTCGAAGAAACCCCAAAACAGAGCAATGGGGGAGGGGGAGGAAGTGGGGTGCAAGGTGGGGCTTTTCTCATCTCCGAAGAGGCCATGTGGGAGCCGAGTTCTCAGTAAAACCATGAGTGACAAAGGAGGGGGTAGGGGGCAGGTGGGGGCACAGGGGCAAGATCAGGGCACAACACGCAGGTGTTTGTCACAGAGAACATTCTTGGCGAAGCCATTCGCACGCCCCCAAAAGCAGCGCGCTGTTGTTGGCAGCTCTGGGGCAGAGCTGCTGTTAGGTGTTGAGCCATTGTCAACGCCTGCCCCAGCTCCTGCATCAGGAAGCAGGTCCCTCCCCCCCCCCCCCCGTGGGCCCGGCCCCCCCCCCCCCCCCCCCCATCACCGTCACCATCACCACCACCAAGGTCAGCCTGATAGGGATGGGTTGAGAGGGGGGTGGGGCTCACCAGTCTCCCAGGTAGTCACCTGAAAAGCAGGCCAGTGCTCTCTGCCTGGGACCTTGGCCGCTAGCAGGTAAGAGGGAGGGTGCCACCTCCTCTTCATCATTCCCCTCCCCGCCGGGAGGCAGAGGGCCCTGCTGAGGGCCCCACAGCTCCACACACTCCCAAGCATCCTTGATGGGCTGACTATGATTTATCATCTACCGCTCACCTGTCACACTCCCTTTCCCCTAATGTATGTAGATGCCGTTAGAAAACAAACGTAAGCTTGTCAGTGCAGTGGACTTGATAGCAACTTCCGGTCCTTGGAGGGGTAGTGGTGACACAGGGGGCCTCAAGGTCAGCAGTTTGAATCCACGAGCTGTTCCACAGTCTCAGAAACCCACGGGGGCAGGTCTACTCTGTCCCACAGGGTAGCTAGGAGTCAGAATCGACTCAACGGCAGTGAGTGTCCTTTGGTTTGGGGCTTGATCAACCGATGGCTTGCAAAGGCAGCTAGCCACTATGCGGGCAGAGTGGAGTCTATGATGTTTTGAAGCATAAATCCCATCTTTTATTAGAGTTGGTGGACCAGTCTCATCTTCCTCCCACACAGCAGCTGGCGGTTTTGAATTGCCCACCTGGTGCTTAGCAGCATAACTGATACCCCACTAGGCCACCGGGGCTCTCTTAGGGTTGAACTAAGTCTCGGCTGCCTAACTCCTGGGGATGTCACCCAGTGAGAAAATACGGTCTCTGTTACATCAGCGAGCCCACGTCAGGGCAGGCAGGTCCTAGCCACCTCACTGAATTAAAGGGGGACACATAGACAAAGAGTCAAGCCAGTGTGGATTGGGAGAGACAGGGACCAGGGCCACCCACAAGGAAAACATCCCTGTGAACTTCTTTGCACTAGGACCATGAGAGAATCCGTGTCTGCTCCGTGTAGAACCTGGTTGTGGTGCATGTGTTACAGTGTCCATTGTACGCCCCGTCCAGGTGGAAGGGGGATCTGTGTGGACTGTCGCCACTCTATGTGTGGACAGCTCCCCCGGGGGAAGGACCAGCTGTTCTCTTTTCTCTCCCGAGTTCCAGAGCCAGTTGGGTGGGTGGACAGACGGACATCCTGAGGAAGTCACATCTCAAGGGAGCTCCATCTGCTCCCTGCTTCCCTCTGTGCCTGGTGCTTCTCTCCCCGGGCAGTCAGAGAGGTCTGGTCCGAATGTCCCAGCCTCAGTCTGGGCTGGAAGCTAACCTGGGCAGGGGCCAGCTGCCACCCTCTGGGAGTGCGGAGGTGAGCGGCCCCTGACGCGGCCAGCAGGCATGGGGAAGGGCTCTGAGAGTGGAGATGAGCAGGCTTCTCCCATCTCCCCCTAGCCCAGCCTCACTGCTTCTGGTCCTTCTGCTTTAAGGAGTCACAAGCATTCACCTAAATGCCTAGTCGTCCCCCCCCCCCCCATCTATAACACGCCTCCTCCGCACTTGTCAACTGTCCTGTTAGCCAACACGTCACGTTTGCGGCAATAGTGTGTGGGGCTGGGAAAAGACTCTCTATTTGGTTCATTAAAAGATGCCTGTCTGGCAGGAAGAAACGCCGGGGTGGGAGGCCAGAGGAAGGCGGCTGGGGCTGTGCTGGTTCCCTGTCAACTTGGCTGGCCCGGAAGCCCGGTGGTTTGGCAGTTAGATAGCGATCCGATTCGGCAGTGATGTCATGATGCAGTTATGATGTAGTTCTCCATCCCTGCATAATGCTGGGTTTTTTTGCATAACAACCTGAGCTTTGCAACTTAACCAAGCCTGTACATGAAGCTGGGTGTAATTCCTTCTCGGCAAGAGGGTATGGAGATGCAAAAAGAGAAAAGAGAAGCGTGTCCCTTTCGAATTCGTAGATGAGGGTCAGGTGGTGTGGCATTGCAAGGTATCCGATGGCACACCATTAATGAGGTACGTGGATGCCCTTAAAGCAAAGAAGACAAAGGAAAGGAGACAAAGGAAAGCAAACATTCCTCACCTGAGCCATCGGGACAGGTGCAGGCACACACTTTCCCTTGTGACTAAAGTGCCACAAATAACGCCAACGAACCTCCCAAGGGTCATGGACACTCACGCATTTACATCTTGCACATGAGGCCCTGCCCTCCTCCCCTCCTCCAAGCCCAGAGTGCGGCCAGGAGGATTAGCTGGGAAAGCCAAGGGGCCTCTCCCCTGCCACCGAGTAGCTGACTGATCTCTCTGGGCCTCAGTCTCTTCACCTGTAGAATGGAGGCGTCGGCTTCCTTACAGGGCTAACGAGCCCAGGAAGGACAGCCTTCCTCGTCATTAGAAGGTGAGCCCTGCACCAGGTGGCCCACTCTCAACATCAGCGTCCCCATCTCTTAGACACAGAGGCGCCCTGCGATCCCTGAAGGCCCTCCCCTCCTTGGTACAGAAATGACCACTCGGTGAACACTTACTGCAGCCCCAAACTGTGAGGTGTTAGTTAGCCCCCCCCCCCTGTCCCCCATCCTGAGAGGACTTCTCTGAGGAAGATGCCACTCTTGTAATTTCCACTGTAGAGATGACACGCTGGGGCTTGGAGAGGTGAAGTCAAGACCAGCACCGTGCAGCAATGCTGTCTGACCCCAGGGCTCACACCTGCTATCCCCAGACCCCCCATGTGATTCTACTTACCCTGGCCCCTGGGAGTGGTGAACTGAGTGGTCCTATGATCCTACACTGGGGACAGGTGGCAGTGAGGCAGAGAGGGGAGGAAGGGCGAAGAACATTCCAGGCAGAGAGGACACCCAGCTATTAAACCAAGGCCATTTCCATTGAGTCCACTTCAACCCATGGCGCCCCCTACGCGCTCAGAGTAGAACTGCGTCCTGCAGGCTTCTCCAGGCCTTTCCTCTGATGTGGCTCCGGATGTGCCGCACTCCCACCTTTCAGTTACTAGTGGAAGGCTTAATGGTTCGCGACCCCCAGGGTCAGAGGTCTGTGGTGCACAGGCGGCCTTTGAAGATCGAGGAGCAGCGTTCAGACAAGCTGTGTTGAGTGGGGGGCTGGGAGGGGAGACTGGGCAGGGCTTCACAGCCTTGGTGGGTCGCAGATGCTAATCTGTGCAGTGACTTTCCGAGGCGGGCGCTGTGTCCCCATTTTCCAGATGTTGACATGGAGACTTGGCGAGGCAACGTGAACAGGGTCTGCTGTCCTCTGTCCAGGGTCCCTGCGAGATCCGCTCCCAGCCACTGCACAGTGGTGGCCTTTAAACTGGCTCACCTGCCTGGTGGTGGTGGGTAGGGTAGGGGCACCCCATATTACCCAGCAGGGACATGAGGTTAAGAACGGTAACGGGTTTGCTCTGGCAGCCTTTAAAGGACAAAGGACAGGGAGGTGCACAGAATTGCAGCTTTTCAGAAGAATCACAAAGAAAGCAGATGGTGGGAATACAGTTGGCGGAATATTTTTGCACTTTAATAAAGCCGTTTTTGTGTGGGCCACTGAATTTTCCTTCCCTAAATGAGCACCAGCCGGCTTGGAGGCGGCCCAGAGTCACTGGCAAACAATGAGCTGAAGCAGGGGAGCAGGAGGTGCTGTCAAGGCCGGGGTCCGCTGGTCCGCCCGGGGCACAAATAGATTAGGGTTGATTATTGGTGCTCGATTGTATTGGCTGCGGTTGGTAATGAGCCGCCTCAGCCCATGGTCCATTAGGACAGCAGTGTGTTTGTGTGTGTGTGTGTGTGTGTGTGTGCGCAACTGCGAGGAGGGTCAGGGCCTTGGGCTGCTGGACACCCACAAAGCCATAAGCAGAAATGCTTATGCACGAGCCTGGTGGTTGGGCAGCACCCAGAAGGGCAGAGAAAGCCCAGGTCACTCGAGGGAGCCG